CACACAACAAGAAAATGATAAAATCAAGAGAGCGCAACATCAGGAAACAGGACTTGGGTCCGTAGTGCTCCCAAATGCTCCTGTAGCACTCTGTAGCATTGTGGACCTAAATCTTTTCCCTGATGAAGAGAAGCAAATTATAACATATACAGAAGCCACACTATGTGTTCCCTGCGCCCCCAACCCTTTGTTGCAAGTAGTGATGTCCTTTTCCTTGGACATCTCCAGAACCACCCAAGCCGTGACCTTGCTATTCCAGCTGTGCCTAGAGAACCTTAGAAGCGGAATTAGACTGCAAAAAGTTGGGAGGCAGTAGTACACACCCTAATGTTGATAATAGAGGCAGCTGTACAGAGTGGAGATGGAGATGGGGCGGAAAGAATGGTCGTCAATGAGAGGGGAAGGTCTGGCGCGCTACCAAAATTAGGCATCCCGGCTGTTTCGGTGCAGTAATGCATGCATAGCTCGAGTCTCCCCCGACTGATCTTGATAGAATTATAAATTTATGTAGAAAGAAATACTATTGACATATTAGAGGCCTCGTATTATGCTACAACAATGCTGTTGAGCCCAGAATATACGGCTGGCCGAGTGCTGGGCTTGGCCGGTTGGGGGGCGGCTAACAGTACGTATGCCCGATCCCGACGACGGTCGCATTTGGATAGGCTTTGTGGCGCCGTGATGACATCACCGATTCATACTGTAGCATTTACACACAACATAATGCGAGCACAGAGTGACACATCCCTGCATATATTGAACCCATAATCCACTGTAGCCTATTACTTGGGCGTTAGCCGACGGCTAAACTTAGCACGCCGACCCCGGAAGGCAGCATGGGTTCGTCTGGCCCGGATAGCAGAAATCGATGCTGACGCAGTACTAAAGCGTGCGGATGATCAGCAGACGTATATCACGAGGGACAGGCAGATCACTCACCTCTTCGCCGATGATAAGGTCGTCGCACGCATCGTCAACGTTATCGTTGTACTGCACGAACAGAGCGACGGAGATCTCCCATTGTACCGCAAGGTTGTCGCACGTAGTCTCATTCGCGGGCACCCAGAGGAAGCATGGCGGCGTGTATGCTGCGGCGAGTGCGTCGCATAATATCGAGGTGCGAGAAGGGAAAGCCAGACAGTCCGGGCGGCGGTCAACGCGGGGTTCGGCATGTCAGGTACGGAACGGCCGGGAATATTCAGCTAAATTCTGGAACGATTTTAGGGGAAAATAGGCACGTACAGTCCAGGCACACTTCGTGTACATCCATAGGCGGGCCGCCTGTATACAGCGCAGAGTGAGGTGTGATTATATGATAAACCAGGCAGCGACAACTGACAATCGTGCAGATCAGGGTTCAAGGCCATGAGTTGCTCAGTCGTAAGACCGGACCAAGATTCGATACTCGCGCAGGAATCTGTAGGCCTATTTGGAGTGAGATATTATATCTTCCTGCAAGAGGCACCTGCCCTACTGCGAATTGTAGATCTCTGCCGGGGCCAAAATCAGCGTCCGCTGTTCACGACACGGCCTGAGTGAAGAAGACGCACCGACGCACTCGGAACTTGGGCCAGACGCCATGATGAGCGCGACGCCCCAAGCAGCGACAAAAGTCGCAGCGGCGGAGACAGCAAAGGTGCGCATCTTGCTTGCAAGTGTCTGGTAGTTCGACTTAAGCCCTGCAGATAGCAAGCACAGGAAGGTACAAGACGACCTTTATACCTTTGCAGCAAGGCTAAAGGATGCGAGGACCAATAATTCAGCGGCCGCATGCCTCTCGAAGATCACCCAGACCAACAGCATAGACACTCCCAGAAGAGAGAGGCAGTTTACACGCTCACCCTGATTTCTCGAGTGCATCTCGGCAGCGGAGTACACTCAGTGTGCAGAACCTGGACATGTGTCCCTACATTCTCCGAATGCCGGTGGAATACATGCGCTCAGACTGTTTGAGCGTCAGGTGTATATGTTCAAGGAAGTGTGTTTGAAATTTGAATGCTCTGCTCGGTGGACGCGTCGACATGTGACATGCGCTTCATGCGAGAATACCCCAGCAGATCACTAAAGTACCATTAAGGGGCCCCAGGTACGAACGAGAAGAGATATTTGTAGATAGAGCGTCCTCATCAGAAGATACGCGGCATCGACATATGGTGTTTGATCGACGATTCTGGTGTTTGGGATTGCTCAGCACAAGCGGCATAGGCTACGGCATGTTAAGATACGCAAATAGTTGAGGCACCTACTGCTGCTACACTTGTGTCCGTCTTTCACCAATGTACCCAGCTAAGACAGAGATAATAACAAGCTACAGTGCCTTAGAGGCATATGAACCTCTTCAGCTGCCTAACTATTTCAAATATATCATTATCGAGATCATGCATATGACTACAATTTTCGTTCCTGAACACTCTTTCACAGTGACCCTACCGCAATCATGTCGGCGTTCTCGAGAGAATTGTCTGCACCTTAGAGACTCGCAACAGATCATGCCGTAGCGCAAGCCTTCCTGTGACCTTTCCAGTCCTGAGCCTGGCACTCCGTACCGCAATACACGACCTTCTTGCATCGGCTGCAGACCATGCGTTTCCCCACGGGAAGAATACTTTTGCATCTGGCGCAGCGGTCGCCTGCGCGCTCGTTTCCGGATAAAGGAGCAGCCAGACCCGAAGTGTTGCGATAATTCCGCGTGTCTGTTCTGTCCAGAAGTTCTTTCATCTTGGCGGCGACAGGCTCAAGGTAGGAGACCGCAAACAGCAGGGAGATCGCCACTCTAGTGACATGCGGAAGAAAAGGCGCCCAGTCCCTTCTACGCCGGAAGGCATCGGTGACCTTTCCCTTACCACAGTCGCAGATAGGCACCTCCGAGTGTTGTACAGAGAGCGGGACGCGCCCGTGCAAGGCGTACGCACACTGTGCAGTGTGCGCCCACGTCCTGCAGCGCTCGGCAAGCGCCGGAAGGAGCGCCTTCCACGCCGCGCACTCGGCGTCGTTGACGACGATATGCACAATCTCAGGCACAAGGCTCGGCAGGGCGCGCTGTAACCGGCTCACGAGCACGTTTGTGAGTGGAAGCACAAACGCGTCCGCGATGGCACTATGGCTCGCAACGTCGAGCCGCAGGCCGGTCACGAAGAAGAGGGTGTCCATGCCACCCTGAGATGTGCGGTCGAGGCCAAAGACCTGCGCTGGCCGCGGCTTCGTCGGGCCCTGAAGCCCCGCGGCGCAAACGAAGATAGTATGCAGGGAGTCTTTGACCCTCCCAAGCGCATCTAGGGTGCCGCCCTCTCTAGCCGCCCTCTCTCCGTCCGATAAGGCCACGCTCGCGAGCGTGTTGAGCCACTCCAATCCACCAACATCGCCAGTAGACAGGGTTGGAAGCCGCTCGAGGTTGATGCGATGTATGTTCCACGGAAAGAAAGACATCTCGGCGGCGGTCATCGGGAAGCGATGCTGAACCGGCACACTGCTTTGGCCGAGCAGTTGGAGCGGAAGTACAACCTATTGAAGATCAGCTCTATTGCTATTTTACATATGAACAAAAACGCACCTCGACCCAGGAAGACTTTCGTGCTACGCGAAGCTTGATTCGCGATGCGTCTATGCTGAATGGAAAGCCCAAGTCGAACCGCACATCTGGGCCAATAGCCAGTCTAACCGCGCTTGCTGCCGTCTGTATCACAGAGACCGACGTCGTTGCAGATGCCAGCGCGGCCTTTGCTAGAGGTTCTTCAACTTCGACCCGTCTCGTAACGTGTGTCACCCGCGAACCCTCGGCTGTAACGGCAACCGTATCCATGGGTGGCGTATCAAGTTGTACAGGAAGATATGGAATGGCGGCAGGGCTGTCACCTGACAGTGCCGGCCGACTACGCAAAACATGAAGGTACTTCTCGTCCGTTAACGACACCTCAAACAGGGTCAGCCTCGACCCAAGTCGAGGTAGGAGCTGACAAGTGCTCGGCGTGCTGGTGAGCCCCAGGCGCACAACGGTCGCGCGGGGGTCGTGCGCAAGTATCCACGAAGGCACGCAAACGCATACCACCACCGGGGCCGTGCTATGCCTCCCGCGGGGATCCGCCCTAACGGTCGCGACAGCGTTCTCGTCACGGCCCTTCACGGACAGCACGCCGAACATCATCTCGACGTATGCGAAGTCGTTTGCCCAGTCCCGGGCCAACCCTGAGAGCTGTACGGTGAACTGCGGATGCATTGGCGCGCCGTCCTCCTCGATGGCGCGCAGCTGGAGCCTGTCGACGGAAAATGCGATGCATACAACGGGCGGCACCGTGGTCCAGTTGCGGAAGCGTCCGAGTGCTTTGTTTTTGAGGGCCAGACTGTCGTTCGCACGGAAGTTGGGCTCGCTGTGCAGCCCGAGGAGGTGCAGTTGCGTGAGGAGATCCTGATAGTATAGTCCACCAATAGAGAGGGTGTTATCATCGATGATGCGCGAGAGAAGCGCAGCGAAGACGCCGTCCCAATCTGCCTCGACTCGCGCGCGAACGCATCTCAACAGGGCGGCGAAACTCCTGCGGCAGTAGCGTACCATCTCTTGGCGTTCTAGCAAGCGGATACTGGCCTGTCTCCGGAACATTCTTGTCACGTCCTCGTGCGCAAACATGCGGAGGTAGATGTTGAACAGCAGGGACGCAAGTTGGGCCGGCTCGAACGTCGCTGCCGGAGAACCGTCGGATATGAGTAGCGACGGGATCTTCCAGGCCAAACGCTCATGAAACTGGCCACCTTGTCGCGCCTGGAACCCAATTATCTCGTGGACGTTGGAATCGGTGGTGTACCCAGACAAGTAAGAGACCGGGGTAAGGTCTAGGAGCACGGACGCCGTGGTTAAGTCGCTGCAGAGCCTCTCTGAGATGGCAAACAGTGGGTCTTCTGTGTATGGAAGCAGCGTCTCGGTGTGTATTGTTGCGCAGGGAGTGTGCTTCAGGAGGGGAACGGTGGATATGAGGATGTTAAGCGCGCCAATGTGGTCGCAGAGGTTAGAGGTGTCAATGACATCGAACTTCAGTGGTGCTATACCGTCCACATAGTCTCCACCATCCAGTATAGCCAGATCTGCATGCAATGTACCCACACGCGGAAGGGTGCCGGCTTCGCCACCTGCTCCGACGATCTGCAACGCTTGGCATATTGAAAGGACGTCTCCGACCAACACTCGAATCTTGATCGTAGGGTTCGGAGTCGCCCGGATGCATGCATAAAATGACTCGCACCACTGACGAAATCGGATTCTGACGTTCTCGTACACACTTGCGAGAGAAGGCGAAGACTGTTTCGCGTTCGCGAAGACGGGCGCCAAATGAAATGCCGTGAGCGGGTGGGTTCCGTAATGAGGGAGGAATCCTTCGCCATCTGTAGCATAAAAAAAGGTAGGATTGACGTGAATGGCGTTTCGGACGTCATTCTGAGATGTAGAGAGTACGCCAGTCTTCCAGAACTTCCGAGACGACTCTGCGCAGATATCCGCGGAGTCGAAGGAAAGCGGACCCGCCGAACGCGAAGTAGAGCCGTCGTAGAAGCTTTCACCGAGGTCTTTAAAATTGTCGTTGTATGCTTTTCTCATCCCAGTTAGGAATATCTCCTTGTGTTGCTTGTGTTGTGCTGCAGAAAATGACTCGGTTCGAGCATATAGCGCCCAGTGCCGATGCAGCTCTGCGAGTGTAAAGCGGCTGCCAATTTGCAAAAAGGTGGAATACTCGGATGTTGCCCAGCTCTTGAGGTCGACAGACAGATCTGCTAACTTTTGTGATTGGCTGAGCAAGACATCTCGAGAAGAATCATCGAGGAGAAAGTGGTAAAAAATATTCCAGAGTCGCGTTACGTCTTGACTGTGCTTGTTGTCGAATACGAGAGTTAAAAGAATTATATTCCGAGCTATGCAAATAAGAATATAAACTTGCGGTTAAAGCGAAGGTAGCGAAGTACGTACCGAGGATGGCCGGCTCATGGTCGCAGCAGGTAAAATCGAGTTTGCGCTTGACTGTAAAGCTCTCATTCAGAGGACAACACATGCATGTCGTACACAAAGTCTCACCGTCGACCTGATCCACCTCAGTAGAATATACAGTGTGCAAAATGCTTCTGGGGTCGCCGCAGCCGAGGAGCAAGATCGCCGCATCGCTTTCTGGGGGAACATGTTGAAGCAAAAGCATGGGACAGGTGTTGCCGACAGGGTAGTAGAAGGTTTTGGTCGGCCAGAAGACTGGATGTGCCATAGCTGAGTGTCGACGTGAGCTTCAGATCCTCGAGATTGACCCAATAAGTCGCCGGGGAGGTATGGTGTCGTTGGACGTTGAGTACGTTCGAATTCCAGAGGCTTGCGTGTCCATGCGCCTATCGAGACCCAGCACGTGTGAACCGTCAATTTCAGAGAGGCAACTGCCTTATGAGTCGCTTCTCGAGATGACCATGTATGTCAAGAGACAAGTCATTTACGACGCGTACCCTAGAGGCGACTAACTGCTATAGGCAGCAGCACATTCATTCTTCTGGACTATCGTGTTAAAAATAAGTATAACAAACGCACAAACGGGGGTGGAAGGAGCTGAAAGCATCATAAAGCCGGCAGGAATGTTTGAGAGCTAAGGCTTATTGTCGTAGTATGCGCAGGGTCTTTTGATCTCTACCCTCTTCATTCAGACCTTAAAAATATCTATTAACCGGCTGATCACAAGATAAATATCATTATACCTCACAATTGGGCGATGAACGAGCTTCGGCAAGGGCGAGAGTTGGATCAAGAGTCAATGACAGGCGAGACTTTCATAGGGTTAGGGTCAATCAAATGGTTTCGGCTATTGCCGATTTAAAGGACACCCGCGACCCGCGTTAGCGGTGGGCCACCAGTCTTCCACATTCTAACCACACCTCCCGTATTTACGAGCATGGGCAAGCGCAAGGCTACAGCATATGATGAGGATGAAGGATGGCTTCCAACGCTTTCTGGATCCTCGTATCCGGCCTACGACTGCGGAGCCCCTGGTTCGTCCTCGAACCCTGTTCTCCTGGACTCGCCACCCGCGAAGGCTCCCGTAAACAAACGCCGGAGAAAGGCCAAGGACATCGATGAACCTGTACAAGAGAAGCGTCTAGCCATGATGAAACGCAGGTGTCCGCAAAACATCATGGACAGGTTGGAAAGGGTCCAAACACAAAGGCGCGCCAGCTCGCGTTGTTTTTTGTAGTATGCATGCTGACCGCGAATTTGATCTTCAGATTCTTCATGGTTGACAGAAATCGCAACGGAGATGAATTGCGGGAGGAGTTTCAGGTCCTTGGCTCAACCGGAAATGTGAGTAGCGCGTTTGCAAGCGCGGTGGCGTTGGACTAACGCGCGGGTTAGGTATACACCGTAGTCATAGATAAGATTCCTCAGTGCAGCTGTGAGTATAACGATCGCTGAATACTTTTAATACTAATATTTTCCAGGTCCTGACTCGCTGAAGGGAAATCATTGCAAACACATTGTAAGTCTCCAAATGTCTCGGCGTCACTCCCCTGCCAGAAGCTAATCTGGGACTTGAGCTCTTCATTTTTGCCAAAGGTATCCGTAATCCAGTGCACTTTGCAATTAGTCCGCCTAACTCGGACACCCTTCTTAGTCCTCCAGGTCCCTTACACCTCACACGCATGGTACCAGAAGTACGTGCGTGCTTCCTATGTTTTGATTTGGTGTCAATATCCTCTCTCAGAGCCCTCCTGACAAGCGAACTCCAAGAGGTGTTCGCGAACGCGCCACTCGCGCCGAACGACATGGCAAACTCGCGTGTCCGCGAAGCATATGCCCGTGCCACGGGCAAATCCGCCACGTCGAGCAGCTCCAGTAGCGCGAAGCGCAAGATGCCAACCGAGGAGGACGACTGTCCGGTCTGCTACGAAGGTATGCACGGCACCGCTGAGGGAAAGCTAAGCTTCTGCGAGACCTGCGGAAACTGTCTCCACAAGGAATGTTTCGAGCAGTGTGAGTGGCTGATGAAGACTGCGTAGCTTCTCAGGGTCGCTGATCCGGAATACCAACAGGGGCGCGGAATAAGGGTGCAGGTGTTACTTGTCCGATGTGTCGGACCGTGTGGGTCGGGCCAGAGGTCGCTAGCGCTAGCCGCTCGCGGGTAGGAGCTGCTTCGGAAGGTTATTTGAACCTTGCGTCAGTAGCCGGTCTAAGTCCGGAACGTGATGCAAGCTCTTGTAAGTGAATCATCGCGAAGGCACGGTGACTTTCTGATCATGATCTGGCAGATTACCATGGACCGAGGCGTGGACAGAGACATTACGGGTACCAGTACTACTAAGGGGCAATGGCAGAGCTTGGTTCTATCATTACCTAGTGCGATACCCTAACCGTAATTGATATGTTCGACTTAGGCTATAATGACTCCGCTCGGTAGCGGTAATCTGACATACTTGTGCACCGATTTACGGCGGTATGGTCCACGCCATCTGACGTGAGAAGTCAACTCTCCTGGTTAAGGGCGTGTTATCAGTTCCCATGCCATGCGCCACGTATTTGGACGACAAGCTCACGTCCTTTGGAAGCTTTGATGTCAGAGGCAGGCGCTGCTTTTCGGTCGTTAAGATCGTTGATCAAGTTGGCCTTTTGGACTCGAAAGGCCTCGCACGAATAGTCACCTGCCTCGGTTCCTATGAACTCCAGAAGAGACAGGACATCAAGGTATTTACTTTCTGTAAATTCCGAATATCGCTCTATTATGAAACCTACTATGCAGATATTTATACTGCAGCCAGAGCGTCTAACGCTCGCCAGTGTCCAACTCAGTGAGAGCACATATGCTCGTAGGCGGGTCTCGTTGGCAGCGTGGCTGATATTGCGTCGAACATGCTTCTTATATCCGAGGACAAGCACGTCAGTTGTGGTATCCGTTTTCTGCGCGTTGGATGCGCGTCCTAGCCTTTCCCAGGAACCGCGGTATAAATTGCTTGTCTTCGGTCTCGACTTCGACAAGCCACAGGTCCCCATGTCCTTCATGGGCTCTCTGACTCCCATTGCTGCTACTATGACTGACACTTCAAAGGCGATCGACTTGTACGCTCTCTCCATCGTTCACCACCTACCGATTACTTATGTGTTTTGGCACCAGGATGAACGCGACCTATGTGCAAATTGCGGTTACAGGTCGCTCCGCTGCTTTCGATGACTTTTCCGGGATTGACTTTCCTCCCGCAGCGTTGGTAGTGTATGACCACATCCTCACCTTCAACGCCGAGCTCTGCACGATATGGCAGCGCAAGCTAACCATAATGTCTGCCCTTCTCCTTTCGATGCGATACTGCTTGTTGCTGCAGGCCGCCATCCTGCATATCACGACGAATGCTACGGTACGTCACCTCACATCTGATCCTCGGTTGTGTGCTCAAAGCTGGTCAGAGGCACGTATTCCGTCTGGTTATTTTGCCTGCTTTAACACCGGTCCACGCAGCTGTGGTCCCCTAATGAAGGTCAGCGAAGTCCTTGCCATTGTGGGCATGCTTCAAGTATCAAGTGGGTCTGATTACGCGTCGAGTCGCCAGTCACGAGACTAATTGTCGCTAGTGGTTTTTGCTATGCGCACTAGCGCGATTTGTGGAGGTAGCCGTGTGATATCTGCCGTGGTATTCGTATTAGGCATGGTCCCCGTTTGTACCCTCTCAGTGAGCTCCTTCCGAAACTTCGCCAATGTCTTGAAGATGACCGTGTGCGAGCAGTTTATCATGGCGCATAGCTATTCTGTACATGTTGGGGCGCCGCTGTACATCTGTCAGCATGTTAACAGCTTCTCATCAGCCTTGGCATTCAAGTAAGTCGGTCCCGCATACTGTGCTTTTTTTTTTTTGGCTAAACACTGCCATCGAGCAGAAGTAAGCCGCACAAATATCGAAGAATGGTATAAAAATGCTCACCGCGCCCGAAGTCGTCTGGGCTACCCGCATACCGATGATCATCGCCGACGCGGTCGTGATGTTCCTAACGTGGCTCGGGGTCTTCCGCACGTGGAGGGAAGCCTCTCGCCTGAACACTCGCGTGCCAGTGGCCGGCCTGCTGATGAAAGACGGTAATTAAGGGCCAATATATACTGCATGTTCAGCATACTCATTCGCCTCCACAGGTATTATGTACTTCATGTGAGCCGGGCCAGCTACGCATGTAAATATCAATCCCCTGACAGTTTGAAGCGCTCTTCTCGCACTCAACCTCGCGCAAATATTGACGTTTGGGAAATCCGTACTTCTCTATCCTTGAGCTTCCGATCGTCCTTGTTGACCTACCTGCTTCAGATCACTGCACCCGCCACCCGTCTGGTCCACCTTCTGGTATGTCCGCTGTCGCAGCCAGACTGTTCTTGACTCATGCCGCATCCGCGTAGCCCCTACTCCTTGTCAGCAGATTCATCCTCGAACTGCGCCGATTATATGCCCTGGACGCGGTCTCGAACTCGGACGTACAACATTTCTCGCGATTCTCCGTGAACTTCCGCCTCCCGCAGAGCTACGTGGGAAACATTAGCGAGCCGCTTGAGTACGGCGCGGACGAGGAGCCTATGGCGCCTCCAGAGGACCTACTCGAGACCGCGCCACCGGACTTGGTTCTCTCGTCTAGCGAGGCGTCTCTATGCTGGAAATCAATCTTCGATAGCGAGAAACACTTATATGCGGGGAGCATGCCAAGCATACAGGAGGTACGCCAGCCTTTCTTCTGAACAGATGGTCAAGACCTGTCTAACGCCATGGTGTGGCAGTCACCTACTATTGTAGAAGAAACTAGCACCTACCAGAAAGATATATATTGACGCGGGGCTAACGGAAGATTGGAATTGACAAGTTTCGCTCTGCTCTTGGGAAACTTGGAGCTTAGGCCTATGCACGTGGAAGAGTGCTTCACGATCCGACTACCCACGGTAGAACGTGGGGTGCGATACGGCATAGACTGCGATCATACATATATTATAAGCTTAGGAAACAGCCTGGCTTTTATCTCGCGGGCCAGGACATAACCTTATACGAAGATTACTTCGGATCGTTTTCACCGTCTGTCCCCTGGTAGGAGGAGCTACCCTCTTCAGGGACAGTGACAGTATGATTGAGCGGTTCGCCCATATTCCCAACAATGCTGGGACTGATCTTGAAAGCTGGGTCAGAAAACTCGGAAGGAGTCGGCAAGGTTGAGATTTGCTGCGAGTTATTCAGTCCCCGCAAGTTGAGCATAAACCGGTTAATGAGGATCGGCGGCTGTTATACTTGGTGAGTATGCCGACGAGAGACGAGTCGTACTTCGAGTACTGACCACGGTCGACACAAATGCGCTGACGGGCGCGATGGCCTGATCGCTCGATTTAAGTCAGGTTTCGGGAATTGTTGGCAAGAGAGCACGTACCACCGTTGTCGCAGTCAGTATCTGCACTATATTGACTACCAGCAGAATCCTGGACCGTTCAGGAGTGTGCATCTCGAAGAACTTATGTAACAATGACGTACAAGAAGTAGAGGGTACCTGCAAGAAAGAGTTAACAATTAAAATTGAGAACGAAGTCGATAAAGCGCACCGTCTCGCAGAAGGCATGTGGAGATGGATAATGGTAGACGGAGTCTCCGCGCCTCAGTGAGCTGTCGTAAAGTCTTGATCCAAGTGAGCACAAGCACGAGAGCATCTGCGAAAATCAGCGGCACGCGAGTGCCGATGACAACTGATAGCCCTGTCAGAAGATGGAATCATGAGTGCTAAAATACTTCACATACACCTGTATATGTAGAAGTCAGAAGTCAGAAGTCGGCGAGTCGAGCGATTAGAGAGATACAGCGTACCCAAGATACGCGCTGTCTGAGAGAGACAGTTCCTGATCGCACACATTGAACGGAGCCCCGACGAACGAGTACGTAGATTTGTACACCAGGTACTGCAAAATGGAGAGTTAGTCGGAGATTGATTCTCGCGAGTATAAAACCGGCTGACGATGTTTGTGCCAACGGGTACTAGCCCAAACACAAAAACAACACCAAATAGTGTGTAACTCCTGTCCCAAATGGCGGATATTCTCAGCGCGGAGAAAGCTTGGATGCCGTGAGCCGGCGAGCAAATGTTCATTGGACAGAACATACATACCTGCGGTTTGTATAAATCCCAGCAGTCCGCAGAGTTGTATCAGAACGTCCTGCCCCTTGCAGCTGCGGCGTTACATGTTAAACTCTGCTAATGTACAAAAGTATATGAATGCCTACAACTGTGGAGCATGTCAGGTCTGTGGCTACCGCCCAAGAGGTAGACAGTTCAGCGTACACTTTGGCCTACGGGCAATACCATAAAGAAGGCTTGCAATATCATCACCCACCGTGTGGAGAGTAGTAGAAGTGACGCCGCAGATAACTTGCGCTTCCAGATGGCGTAAAACTCTTGGTCAAGGGTGATAACATATTCGTAGATGGCCCACGCTTGGCAACATCAGCACAAAATTGCGGCGGCAAGCGACATCTGTAGCGTACTCGTCACAGACAACGTAATGCAATTTGCAGAGAACCTGCAAAGATGAATAAAAATTAATCGACTGCGCCACAGCAATGAAATCAGCTGGATATACTGACAGCTCCGCGAGCTCCTGCGCCGCAACTGGGTCATCTTGGCTCGGCTGTGACATTGAAGTATACTTTGCGAGATTTGGAGCTGTGAATTTTTCCAACTGGCAGCAGGTAGTCCAGCCGCTATATACCAGTTGATTGACATTTGTCGCGCGTGTTATCTGTATCGTGCGTCTGTGATAGCGCAAGCTAAGTTGCTGTGAATCCCATGAGACTGGTGATGATCATGTTTAGATCATGAGCAAGGGTTTCGGATCGCGTTCAAGCAGCTCCGATGCGCAGATCATGAAGATAGCGGGTTCCTGGATGCCACTGATCTTGAATGTCCCGACGGCGCAAATCTCGGAGCGCACCTTGCGGTTTTACCGTTGTTGAAAAATTTGCGACCCAACCGAAGCCCGAAACAGGCGCAGCCCACAGTACGCACAACGGCAGCGCGAACGAGAAGACGAGGACGCACGAAAGGCGTGCTCGAGCCACGCAGAGAGCGAGCGCTTTGCCATTCTGTTACGGGTGACACTTTCTACATGCCCTACGGCGTCAAGCTTGCCGGTGGAGACTTCATCACTGCTCATGAAAAGGCTAAACGTTAGTCCACCCCTTAGCCATAGTTCTGTCAAAGCGAAAGCTGCAAGTAGACTGAAACATCCGGAGTGAAGGCACGAACTGATGAAGAATCCAACTCTCCTGATTCGTGCTGCACTAAGCCGAGATCAGCGTGCCCACAACTCACGAGCAGAGTTCAAGAATACATACAAATTGAAGTCCAATCCACGATAATCATACTTCTGGAACCTAATAACGAAGCAACAAAGGGCGTGAGCGCTCATAAAGGAGTTCGAGATCGAAGAACGGAATATGTCCACATCCAAAATGACAGTATTGAGATGGTCACGCAGCAGAGGCGGGAGCGGATGTGCGTGGTTTCCGTGTCCATAGTCTACCAAAAGATCAAGAAAAATATGGGGATTGCCGCTGCGGCGGCGCACACGATCCTTACCGGGTATGGGTCTACTACAAACACGGCAGCTAGGGCCGGATCCGTCGAGCATGTGATGGTAAAACGACTGGCAAACTCGTAGAAAGAGCAAGCTAGGAGAGGCGGGGAACTATCGTGTCGCTAAACCCGCTATAGGCGATCAGGACGTCGAAACGAAACGTGCCATGCATAAAGATGTGACCGTGCTCGACCGTCATGGTTAAAGCCACAGTGACATGGTCCACGACAGCGATCCTAAGGTGCATCGCATCGGATATGGTCGTTGATCAAGTTGCCGTGGGATTTGCTCATAGCCATGTAACCATTGCCAGTTCCCATCCTTTTTTCATACCCCTCTGCATCAACGTGCATTAAACTTGATAGGGCCTTCGGCGAGCTGAATGTAGGTAGGTGAGATAAATTCAGATGCGCCACTGGTAAAACTTGTTTCAAGGGGAAAAGGGGACAATTTTCTGCGCCGGCGCCGTGCGGAGCGCTGATGTCGTAGAATTTGAAGCGCAGTAACTTACTGGATTTGCTGAACTGGTCGTCGCTCTTAACAGAGGTGATGGATCTGACGTAGCCTCGCAGTGCCTCATATGAGCTAACCACGACATCACCATCAGCGCCGACAACATACAAGACGGCAACATCTCCTTTATAGATGTCCTAGGAGCCGTCAAACTCGTTAGTGAGGGCGACCCAACCGGTATCAAGGGAGTATTAGCCGACGAGGGATGCCGTTAGACGTTCTGACCAACTCGAACGCGATGTTAGAAGTTGTGGACGGTGGCTTCGCCAACGAAAAATGGGCGGGGATCTTGGGAAGGATGAGTGGAACCCGGGCATTTAACGCCTCATCACAAAAGTGCAGCCGGAACACTTTCAAAACTTCTTCAGGCCCATACGCACACTTGTAGTAGTTTCTTTATGACTTAACCGCTGCTGTTTTGGACGACAGGAAGGGACAGAAGACAGCCCCGAGCGGACGAAATATTTATGGTGTCTGCTGTGGGATACTTCAGCCCCATTTGCCTTCAACGGCTCTAGTGGTTTCCTGCCAGTGTAAGAAAAATGTCGGCCATATGGGGAAACGCGAAGTGATTAGCACAAAGGACTGACGAACACTTAAAATCCTACACCAATTTATGCGCAAAATAGAGTACTAGTTGAGAAAACACACCCTGAGTGTCAAGACGAACAACTTGCTGCGGGCAGTGGTCAAGCCGAGGACCTTCGGGGGCAGCCGAAGTATTCTGATTGCCCCTAACCTCAATCTGTCACTCCTCCCAACTCGTCCACCTCCTTCTATACTAACACCTCCTCCGACTACAACAAACATCATCCCGCTTCATAGGCTTAACATTTTATAATCGAAGCAGGGCAGCCGGCGGCATCCTCTGGAGGTCGGTGATACTGTACTTTGTTGGATCCGGTTTCGGTCAGAGTTTGCGCTTGGTTGGAATCGCGTGTGAGTTTTGTAACTGTTCACGGAATGGCAAAGACCTATGTAATTATAAACAGTATCGGAGGGGTTCTGAGTGCATCAGATTGGTATACGCACGTACGACAAGATATAAGCGGAATATGCTGGCACTTTGTACGAGACTCTCAGCTCATTCCTCTTGGTCTACTGCGGTGCGAATACCCCCTAGAGCAACTATCAGAAATCTCGTCCTTTGCCCAGCTTGCTTCTACCTGTGCAAATCGTATCGGACACGTGTAGAGTTAGGCGCGTGCGTATGAGTAAATGGGTTTTCTCCGGCATGTTCGCTTTCTCCCTTTATCTTTACGACCATCTTATCTCCGTCGAGTCTAGTCACAGTGGCACGCATGGTTTTCTGGCCCACGAAGACAGCCTTCTATCCCATCGGCAATACGTCTCCAATCTCTCTTCTTCAGCATACTCCACCTGAAGATGACGCCGACATCCTATTGCTTGATTGCGGAGATCCCAGAAATATATTGCACACTGTTTATGCAAATGGAGCTGACCAGGCGTCTGGTAAGTATTCGTTGAGGACTCGAGGAGCTGCGTAGCTTTGGACATGTATATACAGTGAAACGAAAGCTCGATTTTACCTGTTGTGACGTCGAACCCGCCATTCTCGGTATGTTGCTTATGTTCTCGCGAAAGCGTTTGCTGAGCAGATTCAGCTCGGAATGTCCTCCTGTTCACCCTCATCGCCGACGGCAAACATGTCGAGCAGTCACTCGCGCTCTGGAGCATCTTCTACCACTTCTTCCTGGATACCGTCTCTCTCGCACTTTTGCTCTCACAGGCCGAGAAGCTTGCTAATATCTCTGTGGACTTGAACACGTGGAGCGAATCTGAGTACTCGTGCTTCCTCGAGGTCAGCAACGGCTTCACCCTGGGAGAGCTGCATCAACACTGGGTTCTATACGCCCAGACGAAGTTATTTTCGCCCACGCGTCGGGCACAATTTCAAGAGCAATTTCTATCTGGCATGAAGGCTTGCAAGGACAAGAATTTCTCTTACGTGGCCGCTTCTCGCGCTGCAGGTCCAGTTGCGCTCAAAGCCATGTCGTCCTGCGTCGAAGCTTCCGAAACCTTTTGGCAAGCAGGCACCACATTCACCTCTCAACCTGACGTCGATGCTGCATCGGAGGTCAACCCAACATTCGCCTATGCCATGGGCAGGGAAGGGTTCGTGGCTCACTACGGGACGAATCCTATTGCGACCTTCCACCTCGCCCCTATCTTCGCAACTGCGAATACGCTGAACCCACCACCACCGAGCCAAGTCTTTGAAGCCATCAAGAGGCAATTTTATGCATGGTCCGAAGCGTTCTATGCCTGCGTACAGCATTCCGCCAATACGATCAAGATCAGGGCCGTGGTTGCGGACGCCATAGCTTTCTGCCAAGCCTTGCAGCTCGCAACAGCGCGGGGAGACCCTTCTGTGTATCCTCGCGTATGCCCGTGGAGAGCTCCTCTGTTGGCGCTGGATGGCAAAGGCTACTCAACCAGTGCTGCACCTCTAGCATTCCATGTCATTGACACCTCGAATCTTTTCGACCGCGTTGGAAGCATCAATGTCCTGATTGCTACCGTCCCATTGCTGAAACGAACACCGACGGCTGCCTTAATCACCGAGCTGCTGCTATCGGGCGAAGATCCCATCGTGTCTTTCGCTGACAACCTCTGCGGAGATGTGGTGACCATGTCTTTACTCTTCGACCTCACGCCTACTGCATACCTTTCAGGTTACAATGCCCAGTCCAATGTCCATGAGCTCCTGAGATTCCATCTCTATGACGACAGCGCGCAGTACCACGAGCGTCTAGTCTGGAAAATCCCCTCCCAGCTCTCAGGTGCAAGCTCTCGTCCGGTCGCCTTGGACGCATCGCAAGTCGTCTCTTTGCTCTTCAATATCTATCACAGGATGTTCGCCCACAGGAAACCTCCAGACAGCTTCCAGAGGAAGATACCCATCTCCTCGGCGCACACTATCGAGCACACCCGCTATTCCCGACGGAGCTTCGCAGAGCTCGTGCGCTGTCTCATGAGCCGCACCAGCGTCGATTGGAGCCAAGTATTTGACCTGTTCGAGCAGCGCCTTGCGAGTGATAGCACGCTCCTCGTGGATACGAAGTACTATCAGGATCTCATGACGCAGCTGCACCTCCTACACATCTGGACGGCCGGGACACTCCTCCCCGGGAATCCGATAAACAAGGATTCTGGGCTTTTCTGCGAGTGGATGTCGGTACCGTCTGTCGTCTGCATCGTGTTCGCCGTCTCGCGGTCGAAGCTTCAGCCTCTAGAGGCCAACAATACGCCAACGAATCCTGTGTTAGCCGTCGAATTCGAGACAGATGCAGTATCAAATTACTTCTGTTTCGTCGAGACCGCCTTCGGCTCGCTCTCACTCGAGGGCAGTGGCGAGCATGCGCGGGCAGTCATTACCGAAGACTCGCGAGGCAGGGCGGGTGGCGCAGATGTCATTGTCTCTGTGTGTGTGCCCACGTCGATGCTCATGATCAATCCCGCCGCGACATTGATTTGCCTGGTCGTTATGAACACGCCTTCGACGACAGTCGTGTCCTCCAAGCTTGACCACCGGATGATAATTCATAGCGCCCCATTGGCCGATACAAAGGCCGTCCATGTGCTTCGTGAACGGCCGACCTCCGTCGCAGGTCTTCGTGCCGCAATTCCGTACGTACCATGCATTGACAGCCCGCCGACATCAGCGCCAATATCCCTGGTCTTGGAGGGGATGAAGGTGACGAAGATGACGAGAAGGAAGAATATCGAGGAGGCCAGGGCTAAGGCTGCGCTCGCTTCCAAGGATATTTCGGTGACAATCGATCAAGTCGGACCTTGTGAGGTAGAACTCCTTATTGGTTCAGCGCATCGTGAGAAGCTGGCCTTTCCGTTCCCTGTTGACGTTACCGAGACAAAGCTTCGCGTAGCCCGACAGTCTTCCTGGATAGAGGTGTGACCTACCTGACTCTCTCTGCGCTATCACTGATACCAGCAAATAAGGTTGTCGCGGTGCCCTGTTTACTTGGCCGCGGAGGTATGCCCATTGAGACTCGCTTTCCTGTTGCCACGTACGAGTGTAGACCCGTACCATGGGTGATACACCGAATTAATATCGACCGGCTGCCTATCCTTTCAACCAGCAACGTACCCAAGGAACGATTGGAGTGGATCAACGCCCATGTCAGCCTTGCCTTCTCCGACTGCGAGAAGCTTGCTCGAGAGACCAAGACTATGGGAGCTCTTACGCAAGTCAAGGACACGATGCACAGTATCTTCGTACAGACAGCCGGGATCCAGGGCTCCAAGAAGGTATCGATCTTTGGCCTGCACTGCACTTCAAACGGCGGTGTGGATACGCTCTTATTCGTTACAGACTTGCGGCTCGATGTCACTGCACACACCGTCCTTGCTGATGCCTGCGTTCTCCCGCTACACAAGAGCTTCCTACACAACATTGCTCCTTATCTCGCCGAGCTCCACGACGTCTGTCAGGTGGATGTCAGCACAGAAGAGAGCGTCATATGGAAGTGCCTCCTCCCGAGCCTCGCAGAGCGCTGTCGGACATGGGAACACACAACCGGGTGTGCCTACATCGCGCTGCGCGGGAGCGTCCCGCTCTCGACTAAGCATGGCGAGATTCCAACTTGTGCATGTGGGCAGGGAAGGGTAGGCGATGCGTTCTCCGCTCAGAAAGAATGGATGCCGTTCCTACCATACGTCACACGCATCGCGCTCAGTCCACTTTTCGCCGTCTCGCTCCTCGAGCCCGTCGCCAGCCTTCTGCAGAGTCCAACGAATCCTGCCAGGGCTAATTATGACGCCTCCAGTCGGACTCGCGGACCGATCTCATCAAATCCCAGCGGCGCACAGGCAAATTTGTCTCGCTGTGGTACGTGTGGGGTTTCCACTGCAGCAGCCAGGCCCATGGTCTGCAGTCGCTGCAGAAAACTCGCGTACTGCAGTCGGGACTGCCAGAGGAAGGACTGGAAAACGCATAAGCAGTACTGCAAGGCAGTCTAGCGGCCATCAAGGTGAATACAGAGCCATCAGTTCAAACTCTTAAATCTCTTTGTTTCAACGATGATTATAGGTAAAACATTGCTTCGCCGAGCGAACCGTCAATCTGCGTATGCGGAATGATAAAGAAGCGTCCCATACTCCATTTACAATGCCCAATACCGGCGCTTGAGGTTCCAATACGCGCTGACTAAGTGTTCCTTTAGTAACAGACGCGGCCAAGCCTATCGCCTTGCTCCTGCACGCGCAGATCATGGACGGTACAGGCCGTAGTACAGTTACTACAGTGACTGACAAAAGTAGCGCACATGACTACGAAGGGGTATCGAATTTGCTTGATAGCTTCCTGACAACTAGTACTACCGGTACAAGCTCCATATTTATTGTATAATACCTTAACAAGGCTATATTCTGAGCTATACAAATTGCCAAACTGTGTGGATACTGTAGCACTATTATTATTTTACTTAAAATATGCCTCTTTTTTGAAATATTCTTAACTCTGCAAGGAGTGGTATAATAAATCTTTCTTATCTGTGAACAATAGTGATCCTATGCATAGATTAACATATAAATTTTACAGTACAACCTCCCTCCTAATCAGCCAATGACAAGCCTAACTATATTGGCTACTCTATGCTACATGATTTACAAATCAGGAGTATAATGCTGAAAGCTTGTACAGGCTTGTTCTGCTGTATATGACCTAGATAGAACTAGTACAAAATAAAAAAAATGTATAATAGCAGGCTACTAGTCTGGCTGTTCTTGATGTACCCCATGACTATACAGTAAGAATGTGAGCCACTAGTGTAACATAGCCTATAACTTAGTGAGGCATACAGCATATCAAATATAAAATTAATAGTAGCATACCACACATGTACAGATTGTCCACAAATAAAATTGCATTTTTCTCACCTGTATTTGTAGAGAGATAGTCAGATCAAAATTGGAACAAATTCTGAGGAAAGCAACAATAGCCTTCCAGTGCCTGTGTGGCTGGGAGATTTATATAGCTCAAAATATAGCCTTAGCATAGTTTTATACAATACATGTACAAGTTGTACCAGTAGTACTAGCCATTAGCAAGCTATTGAGCAAACTTGACACCCCTTTGTAGTCACGCGCGCTATTTTTGTCAGTCACTGTACATTGACAATCGATGTTCTTCCTGAGAGAATCGCCGTGGTGTGGGCTGTCTTGAGGGCTTCGAGTGTGCACAGCATTTTGCGTACCGCAGAGTGATTAGAGTTTTGGATGTCTGCCACAGCATAGAACTACTTTGTGCTAGCATGGCATGAAGGATTCATGAAAACCATGCATCTAAAACATCATCATTGAGGAGTAATACTTACTGATCTCTGCTAACAGTATATCTGGACCATTTTGTGCGACTAAGGTGGCTGAAAAGCTCACGAAAAGCGCAGCACTAGCACTTATGGTCGTGTTCACGCTTTAACTTCAACCACTACAACATTCACCCTTCACTTTACCTGAGATTCTATCTTGAGACATCTCTCAGCTCTTATCTCATTTAGTACACTATAACCTCCCCGACTGGCACAAGGTCTGTGTTCCCAGAAACCTCAGATGGCGCAGAGTCACTGATCACTGTGAACATAGTGAGCTACTCAATACTTTGTGCTTCTGCTTGTATTAACTGTCGCAGCAGTTTTTTAAATGGCAATGGTGCACTATTGCTTGCACATTAATGAGATTCTTCAGGTCATTGCGGACAACCTGCAGAACAACCAGCTGAGAGGTTTCAATATGCTTGGTTACAGGGATCTTTTACACATGGCACTTTGTCACAAATTCGCCCCATACAAGCGCCTATTATATTCTTAGCGTTCATCATTGCGCTAAACACGATCACGTGACCTACACGGTCACATGCATATCACGAGACCTAGATCATCATATAGATATGATGGGATCAGTAGATAAGATAACTACAAGTCCAGAACTCGTTCTAGACCAGTCACATGTCATGACAACATGAGTGATGTCACCTGGTGGATAGCTTAGCCTAATGGAGATATTCCAACGGTCATTATTCCTCGTATTACTAAACATAATGGTAGTGTATTAGTAACGAGTCACGAGTAGTCACATGAGCACTTAGTAATGTAGAGTACCATAGGTCCTACATAGTGTCAGGGGTCTTAGATTACTTGTATATAAGGAGCGTCGTCTGAGGCTTAAGACTTCAGACTCAACAACTTCGTTGATTCTTAGTATCTGCATCTCTCTCTACTTACACCCCTCGACTTCAAGTCCTACCCTTCAAGTCTATCAGTAAGGTGAGTATAGGAGTTGTGATACACTTACATGTCGAACATTCCATGAGCCCGCCTTGAACGCACTGTGGAGAAACATAGACGACTTCAAGTATCTCATTCACATCTTGCCAGATCAGGCGATTAGAGAGAATGATGGAAAACTTGTGAATGTTCACGTTCCAATTGAGGCACAATCATGCTGATCACTACTTGTATAGATCATGGTTTGTGCACCATCTGAGGCTGAATAGCAATTGTTCAAACAGTATGCACGTCGCATGCGTAGTGTCTACCTTGGGGAGCCGAATTTATTTGACTTTGATGGCGAGACAAGCTCTATCGACTGGTGCTCTATCATGACGCACTACCCTGGCAATCAATTGCTCCCCAATCTACAAACTCTCGACTGTTACTATGACGCCATGGTCTGATACTTTCTGCTGGTCATTTGACTGCCCTTTGAGGAGTTATCCCTGGGGTTTTGGACCCCACAGATTGTAGACTTGCTTGCAGATTGCCTTCCTGCATGTGCAAAGACATTGAGACATTTAATTTTCATCTCTCTTGATCCTAGCGTGACAAGGCAGTATGTTGCACATTACACGGGACTATCCCAAGCAATATGCTCTCTGGAATCCCTTGTTTCAATGTCGGCCGATTTCCTCCATCTGAGGACGTTGAAACATTTGGCTTTGCTTGCATGTTTAAGGGAACTCACTTTCGGAGTGCACAACTCTTCTCTTGTTACCTCCCTTCCCTTTCTGGCTCTTGAAAAGTTGACACTGAAGTACATGACATGGGATGCTTTACCTGTCATAGCTTTTCTCGAAACAATGTCTTCACCAAACTTGAAAGAGCTCGACCTTACGCGCAGCGTTTCCTTGGGCGGGAACACCTCACGGCCCCCGGGTCCTTTGCATCTCTGGACAGTATTCTCCTTGATTCCAAAATTCTGTGAGCTTCGCATTATCAGCTTGCGCTTCAAGGCAGCAAAGATTCAAGACCTGTTAAAGTGCGACTGAACTCTTGCTTTATTCTGTGCTACAGGGCCAGTATATATACATTGAAGTCAGGACCTCTGATACCGCTATAAGACCTATGGTACTGTGAGCGTAAGCATGTATACTAAGCATGAGTAATCAGATATCGTATTACTACAAGATAATAGAGGGATCATGTGATGATATCCCCATTAGTCCGTACAGGGCAATGACGTAATCGCCCAGTTCTGACACTCCCACTCAACTAGTTATTGCCTAATCTACTGAAGACCAAGCCTAGCATAGACTGGAAACGCTCAAATTTCGTTGCACCAAGTGGTTTTGTCAATGTGTCGGCGATCATTTCATCCATACTAACGTAGACTATGTCCACTCGTTTTTCTTCTACGTATTCGCGTATGAAGTGATATCAAATGTCGACGTGCTTGAGCCTTCGGTCGTGAGCAGGATTGACTGCGAGAAAGATTCTTCCTTGGTTGTCTGCTACCAAAGGTGGTGGTGCAGTAGGAAAGTAACCTAACTCTTTTTGGAGTGACGTTAGCCAGGCTAACTCAGAGCATGCCTCCGAGAGTGCCATGTATTCGGCTTCCGTCGAGGATCTTGCCACCATTTTTTGCATCCGAGATGCCCATGTGACTGCTCCATCGGCCATCAAGAAAACGAAACCGGTTGTTGATTGCCGGTTATCCCGATTTTCGCCCCAGTCTGCGTCTGAATACCCTATCAAACCGGACTGATTTGAGCCAGAGTACCGGATACGATACTCGGTGGTATGACGGAGATACCGGAAGATGTGCTTCGCGGCTTCCACGTGCTGTGACATAGGGTTTTGCATGTGTTGTGAGAGTCGTGTGACTCTCCAGGCGATGTCGGGTCGTGAACCAATCATCAGATAGATAAGACTACCAATCATGGACTAATAGTGATGGCGGAGTGCGTCAGTAGCGGTATATGTTTCCGCAGCCTTCTCGAGATGTATGCCTTCGGGCAGCGGTGTGCGGCAAGGTTTTGAGTTGTGCATCTGGAACCGAGATAGGATTCCTTCGGTATACGACTGTTGGTTGATTTCCAGACACCTGTTGTTTCTATCACGAGTGATCCACATTCCAAGGAATGTACTAGCTGCTCCAAGATCTCGC